ACTACATCCCTTTGTCTTGTCGCTAAAGTAGTGTATTTATAGGCTAGATATGAACGATCATTCGAAGCATATTGTATGTTTTATAAGCAGTGAAATAAGCATGTATTTTACCAAAATTCCAGAATTGTCAGCAAACTGCATGTGTAGCGCGGTGAATGTTTATGATATTCAACCAATGGGATGCTACATTTTATTCTTTCCGACATTAAAGCACTTGAATACGACAAGCTTGTAATCACTACTTCATAAGTGGGAATTAGGAAATTTCCGATAGCACGTGAAGGCAGCATTAGTCCTCAGAGCTTCAGCATGACATCTGACCTCCTCCGGGCTAGCTTAGAGGAAATCTATTGTACTCTGATGTTTCTTCCTTCTGCAGTTTTGGAAAAAAAAAAAAGGTTACACTGATGTTGAAAAACATTATTCAAAATCTTTTTTGAAGATAAAAATGTGATAAGAAACTCATATAGAAACTCATATCCGTGTGTTTGAACTAGGGCTTTTTTTATTAAACCAAATGAAATCCAAATTTCTATGAAATCCTTTTTTTAAAGCAAAAGTAAAGTGCAACATAAAGTGCAAGAAGCAAGTGTCCATCTCATAGTCCAAATCACTGAAATCAAAGTTCAGTATTATAGTGTAAGAATGACAACATATCCACGTGTTCTAGTCTACTAATAATACAATTATAATCAAAAAACACTTTTTAAAAGAGTATTTACCAGAAATGTTATTTACCAGAATTGATTTAGTTTTTTTTTAAATAAAATCAATTAATTGGAGATGCTTTTGATTATTAAAATTTAATGGAACCATTAAAATGGAATCCAGAAAATAATGGAAAACAGAATTTGTTAAAGATAAAACGGTAAAACTCAATTAATTAGACAGACTTTTTGATTAATAAAATTTAAGTTAACCATTAAAACAGAGTATAGAAAAATGAAAATGGAAAAAATAAAACGGAAATATTTTGGAAATAAAACGGATTTCATAGTGCCCTATAATTATAATTAATTTTTTGTGGTAATAAAAATAGATGTAAGTGAACAATAGCCTTTAAAATTACTTAAAATACATATATAATAGCAATGAGGCAATAATAATTAGTTCAAATAAAGTATCAAAAGCAAGAAATCATATGGTTTTATTGAACAAAACTGTTAAAATACATAATGTATTATAAACAATAGAGCTAATGTACATTATGCATTACAACAAAGGCCTGCAGAGGGCGCCAACGGCCTGATGATTGTTTTTACACATTACTGTGCGATCTAATACTTGTTTAATATTGACCAAGCACCGTTTCATTCAAATATCCACTTAATCTTTAATATTTGGCTATTTCTTTACGACAGTATTAAATATATTTATATATAATATAAATTATATGAATATAAATATATACATGTATTTTCAAAATATATACTGTATGTGTGTGTATCTATATATACACATAATAAATATACACAGTACACACACATATATTATGTAAACAAAAACATTTTTGATTTTGGGTGCGATTAATCGCGATTAATCGTTTGAAAGCACTAGTTTGAACATTTAGTTCAGTTGTCACTGATACTAACTGATGTTTGTATAAGGAGTTTTAAAAATGATCTGAGAGCCTGCAATACCAGAAATTACTTTTTACCTTTTCTAACAGATTCCAGATGATCAAGGAACTCCTCATAAGCAATCCTGAGCTTGTATATCTAGAAATGGCATTCCTTCTGACAGCTTTCAAGGTCTGTCTGCAGCTCCTCACATTTCAGACTCCATTTTTTAATAGTCGCTCTGCATGAAACTGAAATCTAAGTATTTTAATCACATTCATAAAGAATATATTCTACTGGTACCCCCCCCCACACACAATTTAATGGTGAGATCTTCCAAGTCTGTGCTGCATGACCTCTGTGTGGGGAATTTACAACCATATTTTAGTAAAATATTTGATTGCTTTCACCTGTTTTTCCTTTTCTGACTTTGCCAGAATCGACTCCCATCCTTCCAAGTCTCTTCTCAGGTTCATTAGTTTTGAGCACTTCAAGCATTGGCAACATTCTTGTCCTTCTTTAACATCTCTTTCATATCCTGGATATCGGTTCTTTCATGCTGATTTTCTGCTTGATCAGCTGGTTACAGTACTTCTCAGCATCTGCAACCATATTTAGTTCCTGAGAATGTAAAAATGCAGTTCATTTTCATTAAAAATGAAAATCACATTCAGACACGGTTGCTGAGGCCAGGGCTGAATCACCCTTTTCTTTTGAAACAGTAATCAATTTTTCAGGTTCTTTGATCTTCTCTACCATTTTTCTTGATTTCTCCAGAACAGCTTACCTCTTTAGGCCTTCATCTTGCTCTGTTGGTGAGCCATGTGGAGCAAAATTTTAACCTGAAAAGAAAACACTGCAGGATAGAAAGGACTAGAAAAGATATAAATTAATAAAAAAAGGATAAAAATGAATGACTTCAGAAGTATGTTTTTCCACATTATTTGAGCTTCAGGAATCTTCTCACATTTCGCTGAATGGCAGTGAAGCCATTTCTGAAATAGTGAGAGAGAAGGGTTTAGATTAAACCTTTAAGTATACTGTATGGATTTTATGTGCTGTTTCTGTCTTGTCATTTTTGCATGTCTTATGAAAAAGAGCTACTGTTTTACAGGAACAGCTTATACTTAAACTAGAACAGCCTTTCGGCAAATGCAGATTCCCTCTAGAATGCCCTTACATCAGTTGCCAGGTGCAGGATTAGGAATGCGTCACAAACACCTGGTAAACATAAGAGCGTATATTGAAATAATAACAAACTATGCTGCTTGATGGAAGTGCATTGGTTAACATATCGGTATGTGTTATATTCAGGGAATTTAAGGACTATAACTTATATGATTTATATAGCATATTTTAAATGTTTTGTTTACAAAAAGCGTTACAGAGGACACAATATACAAAAAGACAGAGTAAAGATAAAATAAGGGAGCACTAGAAATATAGAAGAAAAAAAAAAGGAAATGCAATAATGACGGATATTAAAAGAATAATTTACCCAAAAATTAAAATTTGCTGAAAATGTACTCACCCTCAGGCCATCCAAGATGCACATGAGTTTCTTCACCGGAACAGATTTGGAGAAATTTAGCATTATATAATTTGCTCACCAAAGGATCCTCTGCAGTGAATGGGTGCTGTCGGAAAGAGAGTCCAATCAGTTGATAAAAACATCACAATAATTCAAAAGTAATCCACGATTCCACACCACTCCAGTCCATTAATTAATCCATCAAGACATTCATCATTAGGAGCTACAAACCATTGCCATAAACCATTAAGTCCTCTATCCTATCCTATTTGGACTCTCATTCTGACGGCACCCATTCACTGCAGAGGATCCATTGGTGAGCAAGTGATTTAATGCTAAATTTCTCCAAATCTGTTCCAAAACTAATCTACCTATCTTGACCTGAAGTTGAGTAAATTTAAGCACATTTTCATTGTTGGGTGAACTACTCCTTTAATAAAAAGAATGAAATACAAAACAGATATAAATGACTTGATTGTTTAAACTCATTTGGCACAGTGCAGTGCACAGAGTGGTCATTAGTTTATACAGCTGTTCCTGTTGGGTCCAAAGGAAATATCAACTTTAAAAAAAGAGTATGTTTTGTGAGGAAGTTCAGGCATTTTGTTATATTTATAGGTGTCTAGTACACTATAGAAAGCTGAGATGGTCTGGAAGAGCCCCTTTCTTTCTTTCCTTCTTTTTTTTTTTTGCACCTGGAGCTTCCTCTGCTTTGAAAAGCTGAGCCAAGAAAGCCATGGAGGGCTGCAACAGGCCCACCACTGTTTCATTCAGTGGATCTTTGTTTTTGCATAGCCATCCTGCTTGTTATATACCACTTGGGATGTGCTGATATAATCAACATGGGACATTCTTTGGCTGAGAATCTATAGCAACAACATGGAAATCTTTCTTTCTCAAATGTAGACTTATAGTTCCAGCATAATGCATCAGCTCAAAATGGGCCTCTGGATCTTTCTACCATGCTTTGGGGTTTAGGAAGTTGCTACATCATCAGAGTAAATCATCAAAGTTAAGATGAGTGTCATACAGAGCTGCTTTGAAGGTGATAAAATAGTGCATTAATAGTCAGTCGACTCTCAAATGTCTTCATCAACCAGCTTAGAAGTGAATTCAGATAAATTTCCCCTAGAATAAAAGGGACAAGGTGATTCAGAAGAATTGAGTATGCTGCTCTCATGCAAGTTTTGTACATTGTTTCCTTTGTGGTAGGAGAATATAGGAGATGAAAAAGACTGTTGTTCCTGGTGGTTTTAGCATTGCCATAGGACAGGGGAAAATAGAGTAAATGATTCGGTGTAAACCCTTGGCTTATAGAACAGGGCATGATGTTCCACAGAGAGGGCATCAAAACCATTTGCTTGCCTTGAAATCTGAAGCTGGCTTCCCTCCAGTGGCTCCTACATTGACAAAATACTGGATGACCTTTTTGGTGTTGCTCAGTCTTGCTGGAACCAGTTTCTCGTGATATTTTAAAGCTCATCGCTGTTCTCAACACAGAGCAGAGGTATTATTTATAACCCACAATGGATAAATGTTTTAGAACTGGTTTCATAATTGGTATATATTATTAATTAACATGAATCTAACTTGAATTAATTTGTGAAAATCACTTTCTGCAATCACAGTTGGATGAAAGAGACAGAGCATGACCTACACCTAGAAATCTCATGTGGGTGATTACGAAAATATTGTACCATCCTTAAAATCTGCTAAATTTACTTCAGAAATAAGGTCGCATAATTGATTGGATTTATTTTTCTTACCCCATTTGCAAACTGTGATTACTTGTTTTCAGTATAAATGGAACAAAATTAGGTGATGTTAATTAAAACAAAAAAAAACGTTATATTTGGTCAATGATTAAATACTGCTAAAATATTGAGTGGTTTTTAAATTAATTAGAAACAATTGTTAGATCTGCATTCATGACATTGTTATCAGTAATTAAATCCTGCTATATCCAGAAATCGAATTCCCTTGATAAAAAAACAAAACAAAAAAAACCCGGATGAGTTGCCCAAAAATGTTTTTTTTTACTTTAATGGTATCATTTACATGTGTGTGTGTGTGTGTGTCCATACAATGTACTGTTGGCTATTGCTACAAATATACCCCAGAGACTTACGACTGGTTTTGTGCTCCAGGGTCACAAATCAGTTTAAATTTATGCATAATGTCCTTAATTTTATATTCTATTCAATTTGAAATTTATATTCAATTTCAATCTGTCTGTCTTTTAGAAAATATTAATTAAAATGATTTACAATTAAGCTGTTAATTAAAATACTCTAGATGACATCGCTGCAAAACAGCCAACATACAATTTTTCATAAAGTAATTCAGCTTTGGACAACATCTCAACTCCGTCTACATCACATACCACACATGTGACCCTGGAGCACAAAAGCAGTCTTAAGTCGCTGGGGTATATTTGTAGCAATAGCCAACAGTACATTGTATGGGTCAAAATTATCAAAGTTTCTTTTATGCCAAAAATCATTAGGATATTAAGTAAAGATCATGTTCCATGAAGATAGTTTGTAATTTCCTACCGTAAATATATCAAAACTTAATTTTTGATTAGTAATATGCATTGCTAAGAACTTCATTTGGACAACTTTAAAGGCGATTTTCTCAACAACAACAAAAATGTTTTGCACCCTCAGATTCCAGATTACAAATAGTTGTATCTCGGCCAAATATTGTCAATTCCTAACAGACCATACATCAATAGAAAGCTTATTTGTTGAGCTTTTAGAAGATGTATAAATCTCAATTTCCAAAAACTGACCCTTTTATGACTGGTTTTGTGCTCCCTGGTCACAAATGCTGGCAGCGGCAGGCGGAAGAGCGAGAGCGCGCACGTACAGCTGTACTAACGTGATGTCAGAACGCCGTTGAGCTCAAAAAATGTTAGCCTGTGTTGTTAAATCTGAAAGCTACAGGGGATTTGCCAGACGGAAATAATATCGTTTTACCGCCTTAGAAACACATGTACAGCCCACATATTTGCGTAGCGCTTTTTTATACGTTTTTCTATCCGCTTGCAGCGAGCGTCTTGGGTTTATCCTGAGAGAAAGTTGGTTGGTTATTTTGTGGGAGTGATGTCGAATCCTGGGACTCGAAGGAACGGGTCAAGCATCAAAATCCGACTGACAGGTAAAACATATGAGCTTCTCTGTCGTTTTAATTGTATCGTTGCTGGGTTAATTATCATTTTATACTTCTAGTTACGCTATCGTCGCTGTGTTTTGTCGCTAATGTGTGTACGGAAGGCTAAGCGACTATCCTGCTAGCTTCTGCTGGGGTGAGTTGCAGCAGCCCGGCTCTTCATGCTAAACGCATGCTAACGCGACAAGCAGTCTTTCATTTCATCATTATCTCTATAAACAGCACAATAGTCCGTGGACTTGCTTTATTTTCACTTATGTGAGCGTTATCGGTCGAAAGCAGCTCCCCCTGCACGGTTTGTTAGGTTGGATTAGTCGTAAATCAGCTGAGTATTAACCGGATGAAGCAGAGGCAGCTGTTTTCTCGGTTCCCCTCATCTGGATGGCTGTGTCTCCGTTATATATTAAGATATTAAGACTGCCATGTGTGGCAGACTATTCATTAATGCTTTGTGTTGTGTTTTACTTATTATATTTGCTCACTTAAGCAAGTTAGGAAAGGGTTACAGTGCTTGGTCTTTATATGCTAATATAGGCTACTCTTTCACAATCCACTGTTGGGGTTTTCATGGGGAGGATATTTTTCCCTTCTCTTTTGAAATCGCTTCTTTCTTGGAAATGAACAGGATATGATTGATGCGTACTGATCTCATTGATATCTTCACAGAGATAGTGACAGTGCCCTGGAGGATTGCTCTCTTTAAACCAAATCTGCTGTTGACAAATCAGTGTTTATGGAATAGAAAGATTAATAAATGCAAAATGACAAGGTACAAAGCATTTTTCTGTTTTTATAGCCTTTTTGTTGGTAACACTTTAAAACAAGGTCCCATTAGTTAATGCATTAATTAACCTTACCTAACATAGAGTGATACATTTGTTACAGTATTTATTCATCTTTGTTAAAGTTTGTCTGTAAAAACAATGTTCAATGTTAGCTCAGGTCCATTAAATAATATTAACAGATAGAAGTTTGGATTTTAATAATGAATTAGTAAATGTTGAAATTGTTGTTAACTAAGATTAATAAATGCATTAAAAGTATTTTACTTGGTTAGTTAATGGTAACTCTGGTTCATGTTTACCGTATTGTAGTGTTACTGCTTTTCCTCCCTTTCCTGTTAGCAGCTGATGTATGCCACTAGAACAAGTGGACTACATGGGCATTTTGTCATTTTAATGTGAGAAAGTTTGACGTTTAGTTGGATGTAATGGGTCTCCCGTGGCTCCATTTTTGTCTGGCAGAACTATTTTGATCTCAAACTCAACACTACTATGCACTGCTTTGATGAATGCAGCTCTGAATGAGCCGGTCTTTATTTTACACAGATGTGTTTGTGTCTCACAACATCTCCTCTGTGGCCACTTGAGTTTGTTTGTGGAAGAGATGTCCACAGCAGAGGTGGAGAGCTGTTGGGCTGCAGACAAACCCAGCACCTCCAGCTGTGCTGCTTTCCCCCCCTGGGCCCATGAAAGCAATTCTAATTGGACAAGGAATGTCTGTCTCATGAAACAATGAGTGTTGAATCTCTTCAATGGCTGCTTCACTGTTTAGTCTCGCAGGGCATTTAAGTCCAGAGGATTTGGGTTACCAAAGCTTGCAAGATTTTTATCTGTATGATCATCAGATGCTGCATTTAGGGGTTTGGGTGAGAGGATATTATTTTTCAGTGTTCTTTTCTCAGCTTCTTGTTTGCCGGTATGTTTTGAGTTGTTTCACATAATGGCTTTCCAATTGATATCATTTACTTGGTGTAAATTAGAGAGAACGGCAGTGTTTGGTAACCACTGCATTGAGTCTTATGGACCGCTACCTAAACATGCATATTACCGGGTGTGGGAATCGTAAGGAATTTAATGATTTTGCTTCTGATTCCTCTATATTCCTCTTTTTATTCATGTTGTTTTAATGTTTCCTGTAAAGCACTTTGGTCAACGGTAGTTGTTTTAAATGTGCTATAGAAATAAAGTTTGTGTTGTATTGTAAGTTTGTATATGATTTAGGTACTTCAACGATTCCTTTGGACAGTTCATTTACTCACCCTCATGTTGTTTAAACCCTTTATTTCTTCTGTGGAACATAAAAGAAGATATTTTGAGAAAACTTCAATGGCCTCCAATGTTGTTTGGTTCCCAAAGTTTTTAAAATGTCTTCATTTGTGTATTTCTGTAGTCATACAGGTGTGAAACAACATTAATTGTCATTTACTCACCCTCATTTTTGGGCAGGCGATGCTTTTAATGATTGTTTTAGAATTGTTTTTTTTTTATAAATAAATCTTTGGAAAAATAAAATGCAGTTCTTATTGTACTGACTGCCTTCAGTATTGTGTTGCTAAATGAGATAATTTCAGATTTCACCAGAACAGATATACATTTATGAATACATTTAATGCTGTTCTCACCAAGGATGTTTACACACATTTTAATGACTTTTCACAGCCTCTTTACTGGCATAGGTATGCAGTAGGCATGGGCCGGTATGAGATTCTGTGCAGAAACACGTATGTACGTTAGAACCTTTGAAGCTCCCTCAGCGCAAACACAAATATGCTGATCTGGTCAGTCGCACAGGTGCTCCAAAATATTTTTTCATAGTCACACGCAGTAGTTTTCAGTCGCAAATGCACTGTAGAGCCCTGCTTGGATAAAAAAAATATCACGGTATTGCGATTACAGCTCTAAAATATGTTATTTTAAAATGTTTTTCCCACTGAATACAATACATTTTATTTTTAAGAAACATAGAACATTTTGGAACACTCCATAAACATGACAGGCTAAATAATTGAAACCGCTTTCGATTGCGCGCTCATTTTACTTTCACTTTCACTTTTGAGATTCGCAATCACAAGGACTCTATACTATGGAGCGGCAGTACTTGCCAGACATTTGACAAGATTAGATGTTTGTCATTGGTGCTCAGGATCTGCAAATCCTGCACAGTGAATCTCTTATTTACACTCTGTCAACACTTTGTTATAATGAGAGGATATGTCTGTGATACATTACTCAATGCTGCAGAAACACGTATGTACGTTAGAACCTTTGAAGCTCCCTCAGCGCAAACACAAATATGCTGATCTGGTCAGTCGCACAGGTGCTCCAAAATATTTTTTCATAGTCACACGCAGTAGTTTTCAGTCGCAAATGCACTGTAGAGCCCTGCTTGGATAAAAAAAATATCACGGTATTGCGATTACAGCTCTAAAATATGTTATTTTTAAATGTTTTTCCCACTGAATACAATACATTTTATTTTTAAGAAACATAGAACATTTTGGAACACTCCATAAACATGACAGGCTAAATAATTGAAACCGCTTTCGATTGCGCGCTCATTTTACTTTCACTTTCACTTTTGAGATTCGCGATCACAAGGACTCTATACTATGG